TCCTAAAGATGCTACCAGAAAACTACTAGAGCTAATCAATGAATTTGGTAAAGTAGCAGGATACAAAATTAATGCACAGAAATCTCTGGCATTCCTATACACTAAGGATGAAAAATCTGAAAGTGAAATCAAGAAAACACTCCCATTTACCACTGCAACAAAAAGAATAAAATATCTAGGAATAAACCTACCTAAGGAGACAAAAGACCTGTATGCAGAAAATTATAAGACACTGATGAAAGAAATTAAAGATGATACAAATAGATGGAGAGATATACCATGTTCTAGGATTGGAAGAATCAACATTGTGAAAATGACTCTACTACCCAAAGCAATCTACAGAGTCAATGCAATCCCTATCAAACTACCACTGGCATTTTTTACAGAACTAGAACAAAAAATTTCACAATTTGTATGGAAACACAGAAGACCCCGAATAGCCAAAGCAATCTTGAGAAAGAAAAACGGAGCTGGAGGAATCAGGCTTCCTGACTTCAAACTGTACTACAAAGCTACAGTAATCAAGACAGTATGGTACTGGCACAAAAACAGAAATATAGATCAATGGAACAGGATAGAAAGCCCAGAGATAAACCCACTCACATATGGTCACCTTATCTTTGATAAAGGAGGCAGGAATGTACAGTGGAGAAAGGACAGCCTCTTCAATAAGTGGTGCTGGGAAAACTGGACAGCTACATGTAAAAGTATGAGATTAGATCACTCCCTAACACCATACACAAAAATAAGCTGAAAATGGATTAAAGACCTAAATGTAAGGCCAGAAACTATCAAACTCCTAGAGGAAAAGATAGGCAGGACACTCTATGAGATAAATCACAGCAAGGTCCTTTTTGACCCACCTCCTAGAGAAATGGAAATAAAAACAAAAATAAACAAATGGGACCTAATGAAACTTCAAAGCTTTTGCACAGCAAAGGAAACCATAAAGAAGACCAAAAGACAGCCCTCAGAATGGGAGAAAATATTTGCAAATGAAGCAACTGACAAAGGATTAATCTCCAAGATTTATAAGCAGCTCATGCAGCTTAATAACAAAAAAACAAACAACCCAATCCAAAAATGGGCAGAAGACCTAAATAGACATTTCTCCAAAGAAGATACAGATTGCCAACAAACACATGAAAGAATGCTCAACATCACTAATCATTAGAGAAATGCAAATCAAAACTACAATGAGATATCATCTCACACCAGTCAGAATGGGCATCATCAAAAAATCTAGAAACAATAAATGCTCGAGAGGGTGTGGAGAAAAGGGAACCCTCTTACACTGTTGGTGGGAATGTAAATTGATACAGCCACTGTGGAGAACAGTATGGAGGTTCCTTAAAAAACTACAAATAGGGCTTCCCTGGTGGCGCAGTGGTTGAGAGTCCGACTGCCGATGCAGGGGACACGGGTTCGTGCCCCGGTCCAGGAAGATCCCACATGCCGTGGAGCGGCTGGGCCTGTGAGCCATGGCCGCTGAGCCTGCGTGTCCGGAGCCTGTGCTCCGCAACGGGAGAGACCACAGCAGTGAGAGGCCCGCGTACCGCAAAAAAAAAAAAAAAAAAAACTACAAATATAACTACCATATGACCCAGCAATCCCACTACTAGGCATATACCCTGAGAAAACCATAATTCAAAAAGAATCATGTACCAAAATGTTCATTGCAGCTCTATTTACAATAGCCCAGAGATGGAAACAACCTAAGTGTCCATCATCGGATGAATGGATAAAGAAGATGTGGCACATATATACAATGGAATATTACTCGGCCATAAAAAGAAACGAAATTGAGCTATTTGTAATGAGGTGGATAGACCTAGAGTCTGTCATACAGAGTGACGTAAGTCAGAAAGAGAGAGACAAATACCGTATGCTAACACATATATATGGAATTTAAGGGGAAAAAATGTCATGAAGAACCTAGGGGTGAAACAGGAATAAAGACACAGACTTACTAGAGAATGGACTTGAGGATATGGGGAGGGGGAAGGGTAAACTGTGACAAAGCGAGAGAGAGGCATGGACATATATACACTACCAAATGTAAGGTAGATAGCTAGTGGGAAGCAGCCGCATAGCACAGGGAGATCAGCTCCGTGCTTTGTGACCGCCTGGAGGGGTGGGATAGGGAGGGTGGAAGGGAGGGAGACGCAAGCGGGAAGAGATATGGGAACATATGTATATATATAACTGATTCATTTTGTTGTGAAGCTGAAACTAACATACCATTGTAAAGCAATTATACTCCAATAAAGATGTTAAAATGAAAAAAAAATTTATTTACTTATTTATATTTTATTTTTGGCTGCATTGGGTCTTCATTGCTGTGCACGGACTTTCTCTAGTTGCGGCAAGCAGGAGCTACTCTTCGTTGTGGTGCATGGGCTTCTCATTGTGGTGGCTTCTCTTGTGGCAGAGCACGGGCTCTAGGCCGTGGGCTTCAGTAGTTGTGGCATGTGAGCTCAGTAGTTGTGGCGCACAGGCTTAGCTGCTCTGCGGCATGTGGGATCTTCCCGGACCAGGCCTCAAACCCGTCTCCCCTGCATTGGCAGGTGGATTCTTAACTACTGTGCCACCATGGAAGTCCTAAAAGGTGTTTTTAACAGTATGACGATTCCTCAAAACACTAAAAATAGAGTTGCCATATGATCCAGGAATCCCACTCCTGGGCATATATCCTGAAAAAACTATAATTCAGAAACATACAGGGAGGGCTTCCCTGGTGGCACAGCGGTTAAGAATCTGCCTGCCAATGCAGGGGACACGGGTTCAAGCTCTGGTCCGGGAAGATCCCACATGCTGTGGAGCAACTAAGCCTGTGTGCTACAACTACTGAGCCTGCACTCTAGAGCCCACAAACCACAACTACTGAGCCCATGTGCCACAACTACTGAGCCTGTGCACCTAGAGCCTGTGCTCCACAACAAGAGAAGCCACCACAATGAGAATCCTGCACACCGCAACAAAGAGTAGCCCCCACTTGCCACAACTAGAGAAAGCCCATGTGCAGCAACGAAGACCCAATGCAGCCAAAAATAAAATAAATAAATAAATAAATAAAGATACAGGGAATTCCCTGGTGGTCCAGTGGTTAGGACTCTGCGCTTCCACTGTAGGGGGTACAGGTTCTATCCCTGGTCAGGGAAATAAGATCCTGCATGTCGCACAGTGCAGCCAAAAAAATAATAACAAGTAAATAAATAAAATATAACCAAAAAAAGATACATGCACCCCTATGTTCATAGCAGCACTACTCATGATAGCCAAGACATGGAAGCAACCTAAATGCCCATGGACAGATGAATGGATAAAGAAGATGTGGTACATATATACAATGGAATAATATTCAGCCATAAAAAAAAATGAAATAATGCTATTTGCAGCAACATGGATGGACCTAGAGATTATCATACTAAGTGAAATAAGTCAGAGAAAGACAAATACCATATGATATCACTTATATGTGGAATCTAAAAACACTTGGCATCAGTTGACAGAAATCTTCTTCGTTTTATTTTACAGCTGCATAGTACTCTGTTATACGGACATAGCACAGTTTATTCAACCCTTCTGCTATGTATGGGCATTTAATAAGATTTGATTTTTAATGGTCTTCCATCTTTAGAAATTTTATTTTATTATTTTCAAATCCGCCCAATTTTTATAGCCTTTTGTTCTCTGCGTGTGAAATCATTTTAAACTGTTTTAAACTGTGAAGTAATTTTAAGCTGTTTTATATTTCTAATATTTGAAAATTCTAACATCCAAAGCCCTTAGAGATCTAATTCTCTTTTGTGTTGTGTCTTTCTGACAAATTTTCCTGAGATTGTTTTCTTATATATTTTATAATTTGGGATTGTGAACCCAAATTTGGTTATCTAAATCTAGGGAAGTCTGTGAAGCCTGATTTGGGACTACTTTAAGCCAATCTCTCAACTGTGAGTTTTGTGGAGTAAGCAGATAATAAAAATTCAAGTCTTAAGTCAATGTGAGGGCAAAACTCTAATAGTAAATCCTCAGGGAAGACATTTTTTCTCTTTCCCCCAATTGGAACAGAGGCTGAGATAGACCATTTACCTTACAGGCTTCTTTCCCCGTGGGTGGGCTTCCTCTTGCCCACCTTTCACTGAGAGTAGAGCCCTTCCTGGGTGCTGCTTCGAGCAAGGGTCTTGGTTGTGTCTCCCACCTTGTATAGGCTATTAGATATTAGAACCTAAGGCTTGGGGTCCAGGTATGGACAAATCCTCTCAAGAGAATCTGACTTCAGGGCTTGTTCAGGGATTCCTGCTGTTTCCTCATTTTGGCCCATTGGGAATTCCCTTTCTTATGAGCTTAGCATTTGTTTAAAAGATTGTTTATCTAGCATTTCTAGATCTATTATATCAAGAATTTATTTCAGACCATCTGGTCTGCAATGTTGCTAGAAGTAGAAGGTCCAGATGTTGTCTACTATCTGATGTATGCACTAGGATGCTTACATTATGGTAGAAGAGTGCCACAGAATGTTTCTTGAAATTACATCTTAGTCAGAATGCCTATATTTAAACTAGATAAAAGTACAGCATCTGCTCTGTGCCGGGAGTGAAGGGATAGCAACCCACTCATTCCCCTCTCACTCCCTGAGATGCCTTTAAGGAAACTGCAGGGCCCTGTTGAGCACTGTATGAAAACTGCAGCAATGGGAGGACCTGTACAAAGGTATTTGATGACAGGCCATCACAAAGCTTTACAGAGTTGTGCTCTTCCTGGAATTATACTCCCCATTCTATGAGACTAGAACTACAAATAAGGAATTAGGGGATCTAAGCTCTAAATTCAGGTTCTGCCGTGAGCAAGATGTGTAACCCTGTGAAGTCTCTTAAGTTTGTGCCTAAGATTTCCCATCTGAAAAATGAAAAAGCTGGACTCTGATCCCTTCAGTCTGTAGGTTTTGTGTACATTACCTTTGCCGGAGTTAGAGGCATGCCAGGTCAATGGATGCTCACCTTTACAACATATACTCTGACTAGGAGCTTGATGGGCCGATTCTGTGTGGGATCCCCCTGGAGATCTGGGGATCAGAGAAGGACACTGCCTCTGATTCAGGGTAAATGAGGTAGGAGCCCTGGGTGGGATGGGGGGATATGGAGCAGAAAAAACACTGGTAAGACAGTCTTCTTCCTACATCCCCACTTGTGCTCCTTGGTCCCCCATTCCTTCCCGAAACATACCTTGAACTTGCCCACAAGGTTTCCAGACCCTTCTTCCTCTCCATCTCCATCCTGACCTCCTTGCCCCCGATACAGGGGAAACACATTCAGCCAGTCTTCAAAGTGGTTAAACTCTTCTTCCAGGGAGCTGTTGTAAATCTGAAAGGCGAGGGCCTCAGTGACAGCTCGTCCAGAATCCGAGCAGAATCCCCTCTTGCAACACCCACTTACCTTCAGAGTGGCGATTGCTTTTTTCTGGGACACAGAGCCTTTGACTTCAGCCTTACCCTGGTCTTGGGCTTCCCCATCCACAGAAAGGAGATTGCCCCCATCTCGGAACAGCAGAAATGCCCCGTTAGAAATACTGGTGTGGGGGAGGGAGGGAGACACAAAGAGGAAAAACAAGAAAGCCAATCTCTTACCTGAATCCCCAGCATCATCCATTTCATCCTCATCTAAGTTGGTCTGAAATCAAAGCGCAGGTCAAAGATTCTTCCCTACCCTTTACCTCCTTAATCTACCCCTTTTACAGGATAGGGAGTTGGAAAACTTTAGCTCAAGTTCCAGCTGGGTAAGCCACTTGCATTTTCAAAGCCTTAGTTTATCATATAGTCCTGATATGTAACCACCAGGTACATGTGGCTATTGAGCACTTGAAATGCATCTGGTCCAAACTGAGATGTGCTGGAAGCATAAACTACACACCAGATTTTAAAGACTAGTATAAAATAAGATTATAAAATATCTCATTATTGAGCTTCCCCTGGGGGAAGTGGTTAAGAATTCACCTGCCAATGCAGGGGACACGGGTTCGAGTCCTGGTCCGGGAAGACCCCACATGCCGCGGAGCAACTAAGCCTGTGCACCACAACTACTGAGCCTGCGCTCTAGAGCCTATGCTGCGCAGAAAGAGAAGCCACCGCAATGAGAAGCCTTCGTACCGCAACAAAGAATAGCCCCCACTCACCACAACTAGAGAAAGCCCACGCGCAGCAACAAAGACCCAACACAGCCATAAATAAATAAATAAATAAAATCTATTAATTAAAAAATCTCACTATTAATTGTTTATAATGGTTACTTCTTGAAATGATACTATAGATATACTAGGTTAAATAAAATATATTATTAAAATCATTTTCATCTGTTTCCTTTTACTTTTTTTTAATGTGGCTACTACAAAAGTTAAAATTACATATGTGGCTCACACGATATTTCTGTTGGACAAGACAGCTCTAGATAATGGAGTTAATAATCCCCAGCTTCTCAAATTGTTGTGAAGATGAGAAAAGATGGCTGTAACAAAGAGTTCTGAAAAACTGTAGAGCTCCATGTTTGATGAGATCCTTCTTCTTACCATTTACCCTCCTCTGTCTCCAGCCCCTCAACCCCCAGAAGCTTGCTCTGCTCCCACCTGCCCCTGGAGCTCCTGCAGAGATGCATAGTACTTGGACCACCAGTCGAGCTCTTCAGGATCTGGGATGTCCTCCTCCAGCTCTGGGCCTTGATTCAGGAGGCCTCCCAGAGGGAGCTTCTTCAGAGGAGCCTGAGGGAGCAAGAACTCAGCACCTCTAACCTAGCACCACCCCAAGCCCCGCCAGTCCCTTCCCCAACCATCCCCCATACTCCATCACCTTTAGGAGCCGCCTGAGTATCCCCACTTCAGCCAAGAAGTGATCCCGGGACCTCTGTTCTGAGAGGGGATAAAAGACACCAGGAGGTCAGGTAAGTAGAAGTCAGACTCAGTGCTCCACTGGAGGGTCCCCTGGAGCCATCTCAGCCAGGAACCAGATGGACTTCTGTCTGGTGGCCCCTAAGGGGAAAGCCCCTTACCTTGAGGTACCTTGGGCACCAGGTCCCCTGTCTCCTCCTCTCCTTCCCCCTCAGGGGGATCCTCCTGACTCCAGAGTGTGAATCTCAGCATATGGGGGACAATGTGGGAACCCACGAGCACTGTGCGGCCAAAGGCCCAGCGCTCAATCACCAGGATGCTGAGGGGGGCTGCAGATAAGGCTGCTCTGGCAAGTCCTGGGGGTAGGGAGAGAGGACCTGTGTCTCTGCAGACTGTGGGAGGAGGAGAGGCAGCAGCAGAGATAGATGAGAAAACAGTGTAGCTAAATACGCATTCAAAGCCCACAGCCTCACTGAGTCATCTCTGGTGAGTCATTGCTTTCTGAACCCATTTCCCATCTAAAAAGGGGACACAGTCCTGGACTGGAAAGACTATTGTATCAAATGATATAACAGTACAAAAATTCTTTGGAACCTACAAAGCGCCATCAGAAATATGAGGTTGTTGTTGTTATTATCATTATGTAAGGGACCAATGCTCAGTTTGCTAATATAGATTTAGAACCATAAAACTATGTATGCTCTTTAATCCAGAAATGCTATATATATCAATGGATCCTAAGCGGGGGGCAGGGACAACAGTTATAATACTGTATTGTTGGCTTTATTTTACATATATGTGACAGTTACAGCACAAAAGGGGGGAGGAATGAATGGAGTTATAATGGAGAAAACTATTTCTATTTTACTGGAACTAAATTGGTATTAATCTGAAATAGATTGTGAAAAATCAGTATGCATACTGTAATCCCTAGAGCAACTACTAAGTAAATATCAACTAAGGAATTAAAGCAGTATACTAACAAATATCTATGTAATACAAAAGAAGGCAGTAAAGGAAGAACGAAAAATATGAGACTTATAGAAAACAAATAGCAAAGAGGCAAATGTAAATCCAACCATATCAATAATAACATCAAATGTGACTGTAAACAGTTCAAAGACAGAGATTGTCAAACGGATTAAAAAAAAAGATGCAACTACATGCTGTTTAAGAGATGCTCTTTCGTGAGATACATATAGGTTGAAGGTAAAAGGATGGGGAAACATATGCCATGCAAATACTAACCATAGAGAACTAGAGTAGCTATATTATCAGACAAATAGTCTTTAAGACAAAAAAGAGAGACAAACTAGAGACAAACAAGGACATTTTATAATGATAAACAGATCGATTCATAGGAAGTTATAACAATTATAAATATATATGCACCTAACAACAAAAACTGAAAATACAAGTAAAAAAAGACAAAAAAAATAGGGCTTCCCTGGTGGCGCAGTAGTTGAGAGTCCGCCTGCTGATGCAGGGGACACGGGTTCGTGTCCCAGTCCGGGAAGATCCCACATGCCGCGGAGCGGCTGGGCCCGTGAGCCATGGCCACTGAGCCTGCGCGTCTGGAGCCTGTGCTCCGCAACGGGAGAGGCCACAACAGTGAGAGGCCTGCGTACCGCAAAAAAAATAAAAGACAAAAAAATAAAGGGAGAAACAAACAATTCAACAAAAGTTGGAAACTTCAATACCATATTCTCAATAATGGATAGAACAACTAGACATAACATTCCCAAGGAGGCTTTTTTTAGGAAAGCTTGAATAATACTATCAACCCAACTTGACCTGACTGGTATCTGATATAGAACATTCCACCCAACAACGAAGCATTCACATTCTTTTCAGGTGCACAGTGGAGAGAGGGGTGTTTTCCTCAACTTGCACTATGAAATGGGAAATGACAGGAACACCCGCTAGAAGTTCAGCGAGCAAAGTGCTTTCAGTTTCATCATCTTATAGCACAATGAAGTTTTCAAACTGAAAACTGCTGCATGTGAAACAGAGTCATGAAATAGTGTTGCGTTTTGTTGTTGCTGTTGCTGTGCTCCCCCTTGCAGTCGGGAACCACTGTGCTTTGTCCCAGTCCCCGCCTTGCCCCCGTACAGCACTCTTCAGTTTACAAAGCCCTTTCACCAAGATCCTTTCTTTCATTGGCTCCTTATAGCACCCTTTCGTCCCTTTTTTAAACAAACAAACAGAAAAACTAAAGCTCAAATCAGACAAGTGATTTGACAGGCTCCTAAGTGACATTGCCAGAATTTGACTCCAAAGCCCATACTAGAGTACAGTAATTACAAATTAAACAAAGAATGTATTTGTCTTCATAGTCCCTGGTGTCTCAGATTCCTTTGGACTCATACTTCATGACTTTTGGCTAATCCATTCAATCAACAGAGCCAACGGAGCACAACCAGTTCATGAATTAATCCAGGGATCAGCCAATTATTGCCTATAAACCAAATCTGGCCTGCTGTCAGTTTTTGTAAATAAAGTTTTATTGGAACTGCCATACTCATTCATTTCCTTGTTGCCTATGGATGATTACATGCTATGATGGCAGAGTTGAGTAACTGCAACTGAGACTGTATGGCCCACAAAGCCTAAAATATTTACTATTTGGCGCTTTATAGAAAATTTGGTGACCCCTGGGTTAATGTAATATAACCAGCCGGGAATTCACCATCCCACTGCCCTCTTTCATTTCTCAGCCCAGCACTTCTGGCCTCCAGCTCATGTCCTCACCACTGTCAGATGCCTGACGAGCTCAGTGAAATTGGGGTTCTCACGGTAACTGGTCAGGACCTCGGACTCCACTTGCTGACCGGCCACCTCCAGCACAACCTGGGGCTGCTCCACCTCAAACAGATGCACACAGCCAAGGCCCCTCAGACCCCAGAACAGTACCTGGGGTTGGGAAGTGGGAGATTCAGGGGCCTGTACCTGACTGAAGGACACCCAGGTGTAGGGAAGGGAGGAGGATGTGAGTGCCTGGTGCTACCTCAACATGGAACTCCCTAAGCACCGGGCGCACATGCGGTGGCAGGGATAGGCATCCGGAGAGGGGCTCAACCAGGGCGGTCAGGTCCTGGGGCTCCACATCACTAGGCACTGAGGGCTGAAGGGAGCAAGAGATCAGAGGTCAAAGAATCAGGCCAAAGGAGGGAAAGCCTGGGCTCGGGGAAAAGAAATGGAGGACTGCTGGTGAAATATAAAACCAGAGGAACCTGGCAAGGCTGGATTGATGGGAGGGGGGTGTCTCAGGAAACAGCCATGTACAGGAAGGAGAATGGGTGTCTGAGGCATGAGGGTCAACCCGGGCTTGGGTTCTCTGGGGTTGGAGGCCTGGCAAGGTGAAGCTAGGGTAGGTCTACTTCAAGTGTTACCTGGAGTCAGGAGGTCCAATGAGGCGGTCCCAGGACAGACCTGCAGCCTGCATTCTCTGGGGGTAAGGGAGTTGGAGGGGTAACCCTGGGACATGCCCACATCCCTGGAGCTGGATGACCTAAACAAATAGCAGAAGCGATCCACGGTGTGTCCAGCTAGACCGTGTGTCAACTACTGTAGTCCAGTTCAATGAGTTCAAAGGTGGCGATGAGCTCCCCGGCTGCCCGGGGCCCCTTCCTCAGGGGGAAGAACTGCTGGTAAAGGTCCTCCATCAGCTTTGCCCTCAGGGCGGCCAGCGTCCTTCCCAGGAACACAGAAGGGCCCTTCGGGGAGCAGGGCAGTGAAGACAAAAGTAGAAGAGGCTCAGGAACCAGGGGAGGGCACATCAAGACAAGAAGAGGGGATCCTTGGGGGTGGGAACCCAGGTGGAGCCCAGGCCACACTCACAAACTTATTGTGGTCACAGACGTTGACAATCACTAGTGGGGGTTCCTGCTGCAGGTGCTCCCTCTTCCCGTCCACGAATAACTGATCAAACACCACGAGTTCATCCTACAGAGGGCTCAGCGTCTGCTCCAGGACCTTGAGGGCCATGCAGGGAAGGAGCCAACAGCAGTTGTCAGAAGAAGTCCTCACCCCTAAGACCCTCTGGTTCTATGCCACCCCCTAAATCAGGGCAGTCTGATCCAGTATCCTGTCCTGAAAATCCAAGGCAGGAAGAGAGACTTAGGGTCTTGGAAAAAGCTCAGCCTCTGCCCCGCCTTGTCTCCCAGTGCCCCTCCACCAGCATCCCAGCCCAGCCCTCACCCGTGTGGTCTGGCCCTGGGTAGAGATGAGGACTCGAGCAAAGGGGTCCGAGAGCCCACTGTCATGTGCTGCCGGCACACCTCGGGCCTGGTACAAGTGAGCCCGGAGCTGAAGTAGCTGAAGTCCGGGGTGGAGAGAAGGAAGGGGTCGTGTTAGCTCAGGGACCACTGGAGTCCCTGACCCCAGACCCCTCTGATCCGAGCCCCCAGCTGAGCATCTAGCCCCACACCTCGGGCAAGTGGAGAACCGGGCCCGCCTGCCCCACGCCCCACACTCACAGTCCCGGTCCAGGCTGAGGGGCAGCGCAGCCGAGGGCTCAGGCAGCAGGTCCGGGGGGAGCTCTGAGGTGCAGGCCTTGGCTTGCTTGCCCAGCTCCAGCCCCAGGAAGAGCTCCAGCTTGGCACGGACCTCGCCAGCGGCTTCCCCAGGTGCCTGCTGCGGGGAGGAAGCATGTTAGGGACCACCTCTTATTACCCCAGCTAGGCCAACCATCTTGCTCCTCCAAGGCAGTCCCCTACTCTCTGCATCACCAGATCCTTAATCCAAAGAGTACTCCTTGTACCCCACCCTCTTCATGCCCTCCATCCAATGCCCCATCACCCTTAAACTCCCTCTCATTCCCTATCCCTCCTGCCCCAACACTGTCACGTCCTATAGCCCAGACCCCAGACCCCAAAACTATGCTCTGAGATTGCTCTCCCCTACCCCACCCTCACCCATCTGTCCCCTCATCCCCAACACATTTAGATTCCCTGTCCCTTACCCCTGTGGTCACAGCTTCTCACCCCTAGGGAACCCTGCTGGTGTCTCTCCCAGGGACACCTCATTTACAAATCTTTTGCCTCCAAATCAGCTGTACTTATAAGGAACTAATTAGTCACGCTCCCATTTTCATAACCCTGCTCATCTGTCAGAGCCTAGTCAGCAAAAGGGCCAGTTCAGGCCCAGAGATGACAATATTTGGGGTTTATCTCACATCAAATCTCACCTGGGTAAAGGCACAATCTCCTTTTGGCACTTTGGATAATTAAAAAGAGTTTGGTACACTTTAAAAAATAATAATTTTAAAAGTTAAAAAAATTTTAATTAAAACATTTTTTAATTGAAAAAAATTAAAATTTAAAAACTTTTTGACCGGAAACTTAATTTAAAAAAATAGTTTGGAGGGAATTCTCTGGCAGTCCAGTGGTTAGGACTCCACACTTTCACTGCTGAGGGCACGGGTTCAATCCCTGGTCAGGGAACTAAGATCCCGCATGCAGCATGGCGTGGCCAAAAATTATAAACAAATAAATAAATAGTTTGGGGACCCCTGTTGCGCTCCACATGGCTCCACCCCAATGTCTGTGCTGCCCTATGAGCCTCAGCCCATTCTAGTCCCAGCACCCTCGCCCCCGGGACCCCTCACTGTGAGCAGCAGATTCTGGATCTTCCCACAGTCCCGGCCCCGTTCCTCCTCCACCACAGAGAACAGCACATCCTGGGCGGGATCCGGGCCCAGGCCACATGGCGCCGCCCACTGAGCTTCCAGACCAGCACATCCAGGAGGGATTGCTGGGGCTACAGGCAGAGAACTGGGTTACAGAGGTGAATCTGGAGTTGAGATCACCTGCTCCCACAGCTGCCACTGGATGGACGGACCAAAGCCCATCTCCAGCCCTGACCTCCCCCGCAACCCCAGATCCATCTGGCCACCTGCCTCCTGGACATCTCTCCCCCGTGGATGCCCCACAGCCCACATCAGACTCAAAAGTCCAACCTGACTTTTATTTTCTGGTCTCTCTCTCTCTTTTTAAAATTGTGTTAAAATATACATAACGTAAAATTTACCATCTCAACCACTGTTAAGTGTACAGTTCAGTATGACATTCACTTTTTTTTTTTTTTTTGGCTGCCTTGGGTCTTTGTTGCTTCACGTGAGCTTTGCCTAGTTGCCGCAAGCGGGAGCTACTCTTCGTTGTGGTGCGTGGGCTTCTCATTGCGGTGGCTTTTCTTGTTGCGGAGCACGGACTCTAGAGCGCAGGCTCAGTAGCCATCACTACCGCCCACTCCAGAACTTTCTTCATGGCAAAACTGACACTCTGTATCCGTTAAACATAAAGAGACCAAAAAGCCCAACTGCCACTTTTGAAGAGCCTGGAGCAAAAGCAAGGGCGTCGGGAGCAAAAGCAGCGTACTGCACATGCCCCCTGCACACCGCACCACCTAAGGGGTGGGCAAAACACCTAAGCCACCCCTCCGGCCCGACCCCCTAGACACACCCCTACCCTCACCCCATATAAGGAACAAGCTCGCCCCGCTTCGGGGAGCGAGCCAGCAAGGGAAACTTATTTGTTGTCACTGCCCCCTGCTGCAGCAGGGGCCCCAATAAAGCCTTGCCTGAAAAAAAAAAAAAAAACCCCACTAACTTTCCATTTCCCTCTCCCAGCCCTGACAATCACCACTCTACTTTCTCTCTATGAGTTTGACTACTCTGGGTACCTCATATGAGTGGAATCATTTGTCCTTTTGTGACTGGCTTTTTTTCGCTTAGCATAAGGTCTTCAGGGTTCACCATGTTGGAGCCTGTGTCAGCCTGATTTCCTTACTTTTCCCTCCTCTCAACCTGCTCTCTCCCCAGTGATCCCCACTGTGTGCCCATTCACATCAGCTAAGTACTTGAGCTGGTGTCAGCCTTCTCCTCCAACATCTAATCGCCAAGTCCTGCCAATGTCCCCCTTCCTCACTCTCTTAGATCAAGACAGTCCACTCTCGTCCAGACAACTGAAACAGTCTTCCTGTCTTCAGTCTTCCTTTCCAACTCATTCTCTCATGAATGGCTGGCTTGCTCCCATCCTCTGGGTCTCAGTTTAAATGCTGTCTCTGCAGAGAAGTCTTCCCTGACCACCTTATGTAAGCTGGTTCTCCCCTGACCCCTTAGCTTCTATAACATCTTCTTTAGCAATACCTACAGATCATCATTATTTTTCTCATGCATTTAAGATGCATAATATGTCTCCCTCGCCAGAACATAAGCCCCAAAAGGGCAAGAAACATGACAGGGGTGGATCCCCAGGGTCTCATACAGAGCCTGGCATAAAATAGGACTTCAAATATCATTGAGGAAGCAAACAAACAATAGCTAGAACTGATCACTTTAAAGCTGACCCTCTCCTTCCCCTATTTAAAAATCATCATGCCTTGTAAATCAATGAAGTTACACCATACACAAAAATAAACTCAAAATGGCTTAAAGACTTAAATATAAGACAGGACACCATAAAACTCCTAGAAGAGAACATAGGCAAAACATTCTCTGGCATAAATTGTACCAATGTTTTCTTAGGTCAGTCTCCCAAGGAAATAGATAAAAGCAAAAATAAACAAATCGGACCTAATCAAACTTACAAGCTTTTGTACAGCAAAGGAAACCATAAGCAAAATGAAAAGACAACCAACAGACCGTGAGAAAATATTTGCAAATGATACGACCAACAAGGGCTTACTTTCCAAAATATATAAACAGACCATACAACTCAACAACAAAAAACAACAAACAACCCAATGGGCAGAAGACCTAAATAGACATTTCTCCAAAAAAGACATATAGATGGCCAACAGGCACATGAAAAAATGCTCAAACATCACTATTATTAGAGAAATGCAAATCAAAATTACAATGGGGTACCACCTCACACCAGTCAGAATGGCCATCATTAAAAAAATCTACAAATAACAGATGCTGGAGAGGGTGTGGAGAAAAGGGAACCCTCCTATGCTGTTGGTGGGAATGTAAATTGGTGAAGCCACTGTGGAGAACAGTATAGAGGTTCCTCAAAAACTAAAAATAGAGTTGCCATATGATCCAGCAATTCCACTCCTGGGCATATATCCGGACAAAACTCTAATTCAAAAGGATACATGTAACCCAATGTTCACAATAGCACTATTCACAATAGCCAAGTCATGGAAGTGACCTAAATGTCTATCAACAGATGAATGGATAAAGAAGATGTGATATACATATACAATGGAATATTACTCAGCCATAAGAAAGAATGAAATAATGCCATTTGCAGCAACATGGATGGACCTAGAGATTATCATACTAAGTGGAGTAAGTCAGAAAGAGAAAGACAAATACCATATATCACCTTTATGTGGAATCTAAAATACTGCACAAATAAACTTATTTATGAAACATAAACAGACTCACAGACATAGAGAACAGACTTGTGGTTGCCAAGGGAATGGGGGGGTAGGGGAGAGATGGATTGGGAGTTGGGGATTAGCAGATGCAAACTATTATATATAGAATGGATACACAACAAGGTCTTACTGTACAGCATGGGGAACTATATTCAGTATCCCGTGATAAACCATAATGGAAAAGAATATGAAAAAGAATATATATATATATATATATACACACACACACATATCTGAATATATGTGTATATATATATATATTTATATATGAATCCTTTTGCTGTACAGCAGAAATTAACACAACATTGTAAATCAATTACACTTCAATAAAATAAATATTTTAAAAAATTATCAAAAAGAAAATCATCATGCCTGACTTCCATCTCCAGTAATATCATGAGCTAGGAATTAAGACCTACCTCTCACTAAAACCAACTAAAATGACTTGAAAAAATATTTTTAAATATTTATTAAAGGCAGTGGTGAGATAATAAGAATGAAGAATTATCATACTAAGCCCTGAATGAAGACAGGAATCCAGGGAAGTTAACAGAGCATTTCAGCAGCTTTTGCCACAAGGGCATTTGCCAAACCTGGCAACCCTGAGCTTTTCATGACCTGGCAGTGAGTAAAAACAATATAAAGAGCTCAGATACCATTCAGAACAGGAGTCTCATAGGAGACATCTCCCCTCCTTAAAAACTAGAACCCCAGAGAATCACACCTTCAGGATAAAGATAAACCATAATGGAACCTGCCCCACTTTCTCACATCCAGTGATCAACAAAGAGAGTTGTCTGGCTGAGTGTAGTAGAAGTTGGAAATTGTCCTTGAAAAGAATAACCACAAGCCAATTTTTTTCACTGTGCCTGGGTGTTGCTAAACATCAAATTTCAGTTTAAGGTGATCAAGGGCAGAAGCAAAGTCATATGTTTTCCGGAAGAATGTACCTTTATTCCAGGACTCAAAGAAGTCCCACAAATAATTTTTTGAGGAAACTATAATGAATAGTTCACAGTTTAAAGCAACTAAGCAGAGAAGGAAACAACCATGAGGAAGTATCAGCAGAAACAGAGAGTGAAAACAAACCCCCAAAAACTGACTACTGGAATCATCTGACATTATAAAAACAGCTCTGCTTACTATTCTTAAATGAAACAAAAGACAAACCTGATAAATACTGGGAATAATAAACAGTGAAAAATAACACAGCGGATTTGAATAAAAAAGAACTTACAGAAATTAAAAGTGCAGGGACTTCCGTGGTGGCTCAGTGGTTAAGAATCCACCTGCCAATGCAGGGGACAGGGGTTCAAGCCCTGGTCCAGGAAGATCCCACATGCTGCAGAGCAACTAAGCCCGTGCACCACAGCTACTGAGCCTGCGCTCTAGAGCCTGTGAGCCACAACTACTGAGCCTGTGTGCCACAACTACTGAAGCCCACATGCCTAGAGCCGGTGCTCATCAATAAGAGAAGCCGCCACAATGAGAAGTCCGCACACCGCAACGAAGTGTAGCACCCGCTCACCACAACTAGAGAAAGCCCACGTGCAGCAACGAAGACCCAACGCAGTCAAAAATAATTAATTAATTTTAGAAAAACAAAACAAAGCAAAAAAAATGTGCAATGATTGAAATGAAAAATTCAACAGAGGAACTTATACAACCTCTTGATTTTCAATTAAAAAGCCAAAGCAATTCAACAGGAAAAAGAAATCGTTTCAACATATGGTGCTAGACTATCTCAATGTCCATATTTTAAAAATAGGATTTTGGCCCATATGTTACACCATATGCAAAGACTAACTTGAGAACAGTCAGAGACCCAAATGTAAAATCTAAAACCATAAAACTTTTAGGAGACTATCTTTATTCTCCTAAAAGCATAGGAGAATATCTTTGTGGCTTGGAGGTAGTAAAATTTTCTTACACAGGTAACAGAAAACAGAAAAATTAGTTAAAGTAGACTTCATCAAAACTCTCTGGAGATATTATTTATTTTAGCCTCTACTGTTCTTTTATACAAAACTCCAGGTACCTAATGAAAAATTATAAGAATAGGAAAAGCAAAAAATGTGACCCATGGTCAAGACAAGAATAATCAATAGAAGTAGACCCACAGATAACCCAAATGTTGGAATTATTAGAAAGCGCTATTAAAATAACTGTGATAAAAATTCTAAAGGGTCTAGTGGGAAAAGTACAGAGTTTAAAGTGGATAATTTCAACAAACATAAGAAAACTGGAGCCAGATGGAAATAATTGAATTAAAAAATGTGATTGGAGGCTGCAATATACCACTTTCAATAGTGGATAGAACACCTATACAGAAGATCATTAAGGAACCAGAGGACTTGAACAACATTATAAACCAACTAGACCTAACAGAGATATATAAACAATGCATCCAACAACAGCAGAATACACATTCTTCTCAAATGCACATAGAACATTCTCCAGGATAGACCATATAGGTCACAGAACAAGTATAATACATTTTAAAAGACTGAAATCATACAAAGTATCTTTTTTTGACCAAAGTGGAATGAAACTACAGATCAATAATAGAAAGAAAACTAGAAAGATCACAAATGTGTGAAAATTAAACAACACACTCTTAAACACTGCATCAAAGAAGAAATCACAGAGGAAATTAGAAAATACTTATAGGTGAATGAAAATGAAAATGTAACAGCAAAACTTATGATATGCAGCAAAGATAGGGCTCAGAGGAAAATTTATAGCTATAAATGCCTACATAAAAAGAAGAAAGAGGGTCTTCCCTGGTAGCACAGTGGTTAAGAACCTGCCTGCCAATGCAGGGGACACAGGTTCCATCTCTAGCCCAGGAAGATCCTACATGTCGCAGAGCAACTAAGCCCATGCGCCACAACTACTGAGCCTGCGCTCTAGAGCCCGTGCTCTGCAACAAGAGAAGCCACGACAAAGAGAAGTCCACCTACTGCAACAAAGAGTAGCCCCTGCTTGCCTCAACTAGAGAAAGCCCATGCGCAGCAACCAAGACCCAACACAGCCAAAAATAAAAACAAATAAATAAATAAATTTATAAAAAAAAAAAGAAGAGAAAGATCTCAAGTCAATAACTAAACTATATACCCTGAGGAATTAGAAAAAGAAGAGAAAACTCAACCCTAAGCTAGCAGAAGGAAGTAAACAAAGATTAGAGTGGAGAAAAATAAACTGGAGAATAGAAAAACAAAAGACTCAATGAAACCAGAAGTTGGTTCTTTGGAAAAATCAACAAAATTGATGAGCCTTTAGCTAGACTGACAAAGAATAAAAGAGACAAGATACAAATACCTAAAATCAGAAATGAACATGAGGGGCTTCCCTGGTGGCACAGTGGTTAAGAATCCGCCTGCCATTGCAGGATACACGGGTTTGAGCCCTGGTCCGGGGAGATTCCACATGCCGCAGAGCAACTAAGCCAGTGTGCCACAACTACTGAGCTTGTGCTCTAGAGCCCACGAGCCACAACTACTGAGCCCACATGCCACAGCTACTGAAACCCGCACACCTAGACCCCATGCTCAGCAACAAGAGAAGCCACCGCAATGAGAAGCCTGCGCAACGAAGAGTAGCCTCGCTCGCAGCAACTAAAAAGAAAGCCCACTCTCTCTCTCTCTCTCTCTTTTTCTCTCTTACTCCTCTTCCTCTTTCTCTTTCTTCTCTTTCTCTTTCTCTTTCTCTGCTATGTGAGGACACAACAAGAAAGCAACCATCTGCAAGCCAAGAAGAGAGCTCTCACCAGAGCCCAACCACGCTGGCACCTTGACCCCAGACTTCAAGCCTCTGGGCTGATGATGAAAAGTTTGGAAACTTCTGATCCATTTTCATGTTCCTGCTTCGAGAAGTGCAGGGAGCAGCTTTCAGATGGAAAAAGTTGCCACGAGGACCAGAAGTAGAATAAAGGCATTTATGTAAAAGAAAAAAAAAAAAAAAAGGAAAGCCCGCGCACAGCAACAAAGACCCAACACGGCCAAAAATAAATTAATTAATTTTTTTTAAAAAAGAAATGAACATGAGAACATTCCTAGAAACATAAAATTTATCTAAACTGACTCAAGGAGAAATAGAAATCTCAACAGACAAAACAAGAGATTGAATTAGTAATCAAAAACCTCCCAACAAAGAAAAGCTCAGGACCAAATGGCTTCACTGGTGAATTCTACCAAACATTTAAAGAAGAATTAACACCAATACTTCTCAAGCTCTTCCCAAAAACAGAAAAGGAAGGAACACTTCCTATTTCATTCTGTGAGGCCAGCGTTACCCTGATATGAAAAACACACAAAGACACCATAAGAAAAGAAAATTACAGAATAGTATCCTTTATGAATATAGATATATCCCTTAGGAATAAGTTCTGAACAAAATATTGGCAAACTGAATCCAACATGGATTATATACCATGACCAAGTGGGATTTATCTCAGGAATGCTAGAGAGGTTCAACCTAAGAAAATCAATCAATGTAATTTATCACAATAATAGAACAAAGGGAAAAAACACAAATGAGTATCTCAACTAATGCAGAAAAGGCATCTGACAAAATTCAACATCCTTTCATGATAAAAAAAAATACATACTCAGAAAACTAAGAACAGAAGTTAACGTCCTCAACCTGATAAAGGGCATTTATGAAACACCCACAGCCAACATCATACTTAATAGTGAAAGAATGAAAGCTTTTCCTCCAAGATTAAGAACAAAACAAAATGGAAAATTACAATTTTGGAAAAAAAGTATCTCTTGTATCAGCCATTGTAAGCTTGACAGCTTCCCAACACTTAAAGATTTTTCTAATGAGATTTGTGATGATATTAACGAATGTGATTTCTTAATACTGTATAATGAAATGCATGAACATTTGGAAAGTATGCATAATTCAGGGAAGCAAATTTCCAAATGACCTATGTATGATGATTCAAAGTCATTCAAGGATAATAGATCCATTCAAAGTGCAAGACAGACCAATGGATTTTAATATAACAGAGTATAAAAATTCTTTGCCAGATATTTGCAAAAAATGTAAAGCAATATCGTTGTTCTCACTACATTTTTTGTTTTGGAGAATTTACTTATTTTTCTTTTTTTTTTTTTTTTTTTGCAGTACGCGGGCCTCTCACTGTTGTGGCCTCTCCTGTTGCAGAGCACAGGCTCCGGACGCACAGGCTCAGCGGCCACGGCTCACGGGCCTAGCCGCTCCGTGGCATGTGGGATCTTCCCGGACCGGGGCACAAACCTGTGTCCCCTGCATCGGCAGGCGGACTCTCAACCACTGTGCCACCAGGGAAGCCCCTATACTTATTTTTCTAAAAATATATTTATGTTTCCCTATATAAATATACAAAAAAACATGTAATAGGTTTACTATTGTTATTTTAAATGAATTAATAAATAATTTTTTATTTCTATGGTTTTAAATTTTTTCAGGTTTAGTTTATATAATAGGGAATATCAGTAGATACATCTATATAAACAAAAGCTCATTTGGGTCCCCAGTAATTACTCTAAGGCTGTAAAGGAGTCCTGAGACCAAAAAAGTTTGAGAATCACTGCCCTAGAGACTCTTCCACTTACATCCAGGACATGTATAAAAATAGTCTTGGAAACATTGTTTCTAATCACCATGCGTTGGAATCAACACACATATCCATCAGTAGTGGGATGGATAAGTGAATTATAGTATAGTCATACAGTGGAATATTATACAGCAATGAAAATGGACAAATTACAGCTACATACAATAAACATAATATTAAGCTTTAAAAAAAGCAAAATAATATAAACAGTATTATACAAAGTTTGAAAAATAGTGAAACTAACCTATATTATTTCAGGAGGCATATTTAAATCAGAAAATGTTTTTAAATGTCAGCTGACAACAGAAGGTTTTCATTCCAAATAAGTAAAGTAATTTTGGGACCTCCCTGGTGGAGAAGTGGTTAAGAATCCACCTGCCAATGCAGGGGACACGGGTTTGAGCCTTGGTCTGGGAAGATTCCACATGCTGTGGAGCAACTAAACCCGTGTGCCACAACTACTGAGCCTGCCCTCTGGAGCCCATGAGCCACAGCTACTGAGCCCGCGTGCCTAGAGCCCATGCTCCGCAACAAGAGAAGCCCCCACAGTAAGAAGCCCGCACACCGCAACGAAGACCCAATGCAACCAAAAATTAATTAATTAATTAATTTTTCTAAAAATTAAAAAAAAAAAAAATCTTGCACTAAAATTCACTTTAATAAGGTCTCTATTCTGTATCTCCTTCCACTACTCTGCCTTCCAGCTGCGCCTTTGCACATGCCGTCCATTCTTTCATACTTGCCAAACTCCAACGTGCCCTTCGAGATCTGAGACCAATATCCAGACTCCTCACTGTTTGACCCTGAGGACATATTGGCCCCAGGGATCCAAACTTTCTGTGCCTTTGGGAATGACTGAGCTTCAGAGTGGGGCAGAACTGGCTTTGAATTCTAGCTCTGACACTTAACCAGCTATGACATGGTGGATCAGTCACTTTCCCTCTCTAAGCCTCAGTTTCTGCGCCTGTCAAATGGGGTAACATGTTCCCAAGGCTGTTGAGTCACACTAGGTAATACAGACAGATGCTTAGCCAAGGAAGCTTTCTATAAACGTGAACTTCCTTTACCCTTCCCGTGTGTTGTGTTCAGAGCTTCAAACCAGGAGAGTCATGCCAAGGAAATGTCCTCTCAGACCTTCTTCCAAAGAGATCTTGCATGTTCCCTGTATCCCTGCTGGGCCCTACAATGTACATCGTCACCCTTAGCTACTCCAAATGGAGCTTAGTCCTATGCTCAGAGCAACAGGTCCCATGGCCTGGTATCAATCCACAGGACAAATGTTAGGTCACCCCTGCCCAAAGACCTCCGGTAGGCTTAGAAGAAAGGGTATTCAGGGTGAGGAAATGGGTGGGTGAGGCATTACCCCCTGGGCCAGGAAGCGCAGTTTCACCAGGAGCTTCTTGGCCAGTGCCACCTTCTCTTGCACGTTGCCCTGTCTCAGGCCCCAAAGGAGCCGCAGTCCTTGCTTTGCCAACAGGTTCTGAAAGGGCAGGAAGAGAACATGAGTGGAGGGTCCCTGCTGGGTGCCCCTGATCCCCCTTCCCCAGACTGTACCAGGCTAAACGCCAGCTGTTTCCCTTGGCATCTGCATAGATCCAGCGCGTTGGGCCGAGTCATTGTCCTGTGCTCAGCACCGTGGCAAAACTGTCTGCAAGAGCAGTAGCGGGCGTGGCAGGTGGGAATCAAAGGAGAGAACACTGACCCTTAGGGGCCACCTCCCTCAGAGCGGGCCTCCCATGCCCAGCCTCCGTCACAGCTCCTCTCAGTCTTGTTCTCAAGGAGGCATCCTTCCTCAGCCAAGGATGGATTCTATATTTGAACCACTCCCCAACTCATCAAGGCCAGCCTCACTTTGGAGACCCAGAATGTACTAGCATTTAACTATTTACTGCCCTGGCTACTCAAAGTGTGGCCCAGGCCCAACAGCATTGGTATTACCTACTTAGAAACGTAGAATCTCAGCCCCACCCCAGACCTGCTGCATCAGAAATCCGCATTTTTATACCTGGAGGATTCAAATGCATGTTAAAGGCTCACATGGGCTGTACTTGACAGTTCCAACACTGACCAAAGTTAGTTCAAACATTACATGCTCAAACCAAGTGCATGAGTTCCAATGACTGCCCCAGGCCCCCACCTTGAAAGCGAACCCTGCTTCACTTCAAAACTTCCAAGTCATGCTTCACTGCTCTTTCTTTCACTCACATTCCACATCGATCCCATCAGCATATCATTTAGGCTCTACTTTCAAAATATATTCAAAATCTGACCACTTTCCCCCTTTTCCAGGACCACCCTAGTCCAAGCCACCATCACTTCTCGCCAGGATTATTCCAACACCCTCCTAGCTGTTCTCACCACGTCCACTCTTACCCTCTCTCCTACGGAATATTCTCAATATAGCATCCAGAATGAGCTTTTCAATGCTTTCCAGACCATTTCACTCCTCTCCAGAAGTTTCTCATCTCAGAGTTAAAAATAAAATTCCGGGTTTCCCTGGTGGCGCAGTGGTTGAGAGTCTGCCTGCTGATACAGGGGACACGGGTTCGTGTCACGGTCTGGGAAGATCCCACATGCCACGGAGCGGCTGGGCCCGTGAGCCATGGCCGCTGAGCCTGCGCGTCTGGAGCCTGTGCTCCGCAACGGGAGAGGCCACAACAGTGAGAGACCCGTGTACCGCAAAAAATAAAATAAAATTCCTTTTTTTAAAAAATTTATTTTATTTTTGGCTGCGTTGGGTCTTCATTGCTGCACGCGGGCTTTCTTTAGTTGCGGGGAGAGGGGATACTCTTCATTGCGGTGCGCGGGCTTCTCATTGCGGTGGCTTCTCTTGTTGCGGAGTACGGGCTCTAGGCGCACAGGTTTCAGTAGCAGCGGCACATGGGCTCAGTAGTTGTGGCTTGGGGGCTCTAGAGCGCAGGCTCAGTAGTTGTGGTGCATGGGCTTAGTTGCCCCGTGGCATGTGGGATCTTCCCAGACTAGGGCTTGAACACGTGTCCCCTACATTGGCAAGCGGATTCTTAACCACTGTGCCACCAGGGAACCCCCCAAATAAAATTCTTTAAATGGCCTAGAAGGCCCTACATGCTCTGTTTCTCTTTATCTCCCTGTCTTCACCAAATATTACTCTCCCCTCACACACAGCCCTACAGTCACACTGGCCTTTTTGCTGGTCCCTGAATACGCCAAGCCCGTTACTACCTCAGCACCTTTGTATTAGCTGCTCCCTCTGCTGGAATGTCAGGCCCCTAGATCTTTCCATGGCTCACTCTCCCCTTCTTCATTCAGGTCTTTGCTCAAATGTTATCTCTTCACAGACCTTCCCAGGTCATCCCCTCTAAACAGTCCCTGCTACTTTCTCCACCCTCATACTCTGCTTTATCCATCTCTCCAAATAGAATGTAAGGCATGGGGCTTCCCTGGTGATGCAGTGGTTAAGAATCTGCCTGCCAATGCAGGGGACACGGGTTCGAGTCCCAGTCTGGGAAGATCCCACATGCCGCAGAGCAACTAAGTCCATGTGCTACAACTACTGAGCATGCACTCTAGAGCCCATGAGCCACAACCACTGAGCCCATGAGCCTAGAGACCATGCTCCACAATAAGCCCACACACCGCAACAAAGAGTAGCCCCCACTCACCACAACTAAAGAAAGCCTGCGCACAGTAACAAAGACCCAATGCAGCCAAAAATAAAAATAAATAAATTTATTTTTAAAAATACATTTAAAAAAAAGAAAGTAAGGCATGGCGGGGACTTCATTTTGATTACCACTGTAAGCTCAGGGCCTGGCACCTAATAGATGCTCAAAAAATATTTGTCAGGTAAAGTAAAATGATTTTTGAAACATGATATTTTGGTCCCTTTTTGACCCCTAATGATGTCTTAACTTTTTATTATGGAAATTTTCAAAAATATATAAAATAAGTGACTCCAAGGATTTTTCACCTAATACTGCTCCCAGAGCTTATCCTTTTAACTTACTAATGCTCTTTGCTCCAAGACTTCTATTGGCAGAAATAATCTGACATAAAATAACACAAAATAAAACTGACAAGAGTCAAAACTGCACCTATTTAAATGTCAATTATACCTCAATTAAAAAAAAAACTGCACTTATTGGGACTTCCCTGGTAGTCCAGTGGTTAAGACTCTGTGCTCCCAATACAGAGGGCCCGGGTTTGATCCCTGGTCAGGGAACTAGATCTCTCATGCCGCAACTAAAGATCCCACATGCCACAACTAAAAAAAAAAAAAAAAAATCCTGCATGCCACAACGAAGATCTCACACGCGGCCACAAAGATCCTGCATGCCACAACTAAGACCCACCTCAGCCAGATATATAAATAAATAATAAATAAAAACTGCACTTATTAACATTTGCTATTGATTAAAAATTGACAGAAGAGGGGCTTTCCTGGTGGCGCAGTGGTTGAGAGTCCGCCTCTCAATGCAGGGGACACGGGTTTGTGCCCGGGTCCGGGAAGATCCCACATGCCTCGGAGCGGCTAGGCCCGTGAGCCATGGCTGCTGAGCCTGTGCGTCCGGAGCCGGTGCTCCGCAACGGGAGAGGCTGCAACAGTGAGAGGCCCGCGTACCGCAAAAAAACAAAAAAAAATGGACAGAAGAAAAAAAATCTTCTTGACAAGATTTAGATCCACAAAATTGGATTCAGGGAAATTAGATCCGGTAGAAATAATAGCACCCCCACACACCCACACACACACAGATCACACTGGATAAAGCTATAAGAAGTGAAATACAGGGACTTCCTTGGCGGTCCAGTGGTTAAGACTCTGTGCTTGCACTGTAGGGGGCACGGGTTCAATCCCTGGTTGGGGAACTAAGATCCCACATGCCATGCAGCCAAAAGAGAAAAAAAAATTTTTAATAAATAATAATGCTGTTTTTTAAAAAAGATGAAATATGATTTGAACAGATCTTTCATTGAAAGTTCCCTGACAAAGAATAATTTTAGTAATAAAATAATTTCAGTAAAGTGAAAATGGAAAGAGTTTAATTGCACCTTATAGACAATCAAGCAAGGAATTAAATTGGATTAAAGTTTGTTGCTCTTTTGGAGACATAGAGAATGTAGACAGAGAAGAGAGCCTTACAATGAAGCCCTAAGACATACCCATATGAACATTTGGAACATTCAGAGGTAAAGAAGATAGAGAGCGAGCAAAAGAGATGAGAAGGAATGGCCAGGGAAGCCGAAGGAAAACCAAGGGTATGGAAATCAACACCAGAGTCTTTCAAGAAGGAGGGTGGGGTCAACTGTGTCCACTGATACTGAAAGGTTGAGTAAGATGAGGACAGAAAAGTGACCAACAACCAAGTCCTTGGCTGAGTCCTCCTCTTTGACCCTCCCTCTAAATGCTGGAGCTTGCCAGGTCCTTAGATTTGTTTGCTTGTTTGGGTTTTTTTTGGCCTCGCCGAGCAGCATGTGGACCAGGGATCGAATCCAGGCCCCCTGCCTTGGAAGTGCAGAATCTTAACCACTGGACCACCAAGGAAGGAAGTCCAGATTTTTCCTTTTTTTTTTTTTTTGTTCCCTAGGTGATCTTATCCAATCCCATCTACATATTAACACCCCGCAATTTTACATTTCTAGCCCTGAACTCTCCCCAGAGCTCAACTCCTATAGCTAACAGCCTGGCAGACATATCCATTTAGAAGTCTAACAGGCATATATCTCAAAGTTAACATGTCCAGGGACTTCCCTGGTGGCTCAGTGGTTAAGAATCCGCCTGTCAGTGCAGGGCACATGGGTTCGAGCCCTGGTCCGGGCAGATCCCACATGCCGCAGAAGAACTAAGCCCATGCACCACAACTACGGAGCCTGTGCTCTAGAGTCCGTGAGCCACAACTACTGAGCCTGAGTGCCACAACTACTGAAGCCCGCGTGCCTAGAGCCCGTGCTCTGCAGCAAGAGAAGCCACCCAATGAGAAGCCCGGGAACCGCAACAAAGAGTAGCCTCCGCTTGCCGCGACTAGAGAAAAGCCCGCACACAGCAACAAAGACCCAAGGCAGCCAAAAATAAAAATAAATTAAAAAAAAAAAAAGTTAACATGTCCAAAAAGGGGCTTCTGATATCCCCTCCACTCCCATCAGAACTTCTCCTTCTCTTGTTTTCCATAGCTCAGCAAATAGCACCATCTACATAGCTGTGCAAGTCAAAATCTTGGGAGTCATTCATGACTCTCCTCTGCACATTTTCCTCCTCCCCTAAGCCTATTCATTAGCCAGTCCTGAGGTGTCACTTCCAAAGTCTCAACTGCTCTTGAATTCATTCCCGTCACCCTGTATCCACTGCAACCACCCTAGGTTCATTTCATCGTTATTGGTCACCTGAATTATTACAATGCCCTCTATAGTACTCTCTCTGCTTCCTCTCATATCATCCCTCCCACACTGATCCTTTTTAAGGATAAATTAGAGCATATCCCTTCTCTTTTCAAAACCTTCAGTGGCTCCTCATTTCACTCAAAGAAGAAGCCAAGGCCGCTACAATGGCCTGTGTGACTCCCACATGCCTCTCCCCACTATCATCCTCCTTTCCCCCCACACCCTCCAGCCTCAGCTACTCTGTTCACTCTGCTGCACTCACACTGGTCCCTTGCTCTTCCTCAAACACACCAGGCATGCTTCACCTCAGGGCCTTTGCACATGCTGTCCTTGCTGCCTGGAACACCCTTACAGACATGGCTTTCTCCTTTATCTTCTTAATGTCAACATCACCATGGCCTCCCCTTGCCACCTTTTCTAAAATTGCAATGTCTCTCTGAAATACTTCCTTGCTTTATTTTCTCCCTAACACTATCCTTATCATACTTCTTATATTTCTGCCTTGTTGTTTACATGTTTATTATCTGTGTCTCCATTCAGCCTCCACCCCCACAAGAATGTAAGTTCCAGAAATCTTTGTGGACAAGAATGCTTATTCACTGTTATTCTTGTGCCTAAAACAGTGTCTGGCATAGTCAGTCTTATAAATATTAGTGAGTAAATGGATAAACAACCCTTTTGAGAAGAGGATCAGAAAAACACTGAAGTACCTGGAGCAGGTTATGGAATCCAGGGCAGTGAAGGTCAAAGATGGAAGTGACTAGAACAAATATATGTGGTTACAGTAATGACCTGGTAACTAGGGACCAGTTGATGCTGCAGGAGAGAAAGTGGACAATTGCAGAGCTAATTCTTCCAGTAGGTGAGAGGAGATGAAATCAGGATCACAGCTGTGGCTTTGGGAGGAGGTCACCTCCTCTGCTGTAGCAGGAAAAGAAGGAGAGCAGATGGTTGCAGAAGCTGGCAAGGCAGTAGACTGGATGGAGGAAGGTGAGGCTTCTATTTTCTCCATGAAGTAGGAAAGGAAGTCATTAGCTGGAAGGAGTGTGGTGGAACAGAGCAGGGGAATCTGAGGAGAGGGGGAAATGCATAAGCCTATAGGAGCTCGGCAAAGGGAGTTTATTGGAGGGGAGTGGCCTAACCCCCAATAATTTCTATCAAGTTCCCTCAACAATCATCTCCTCATTCTTCTGTACAGTGCTGAGCAAACGCAGTTTCCAGAGCCCTTGGGTCCAGACAGCCATCATGAGTTTCCCTCACCCTGGAGTTGGCAGCAAGGAGGGGGAGGTTCTCAGCTCACCTGCTCCCAGCCACCAGCTCTTCCAGTGCCTGCTTCAGCCGTGTGCAGGTCCCGCAAGTGGGGCTGCGCTGCAGACTCTCAACCTCCTGCAGCCCCGGGTCCTGCGGCACCAGGTGAGAAGGTCAGACTCCGACCTCTTTTACACCACACCCTCATCCCGAGGCCCCGCCCACTCACAACTGCACCTCTTGGCCCCACCCTTTGACTCCAACTTGTTCTCTGTTCAGTTTTTCAAGCCCTCTGCTGGCTCCGCACCTTTCTAAGCGGAGCTAGGTCGCGAGCATGGGGTTTGCAGTCGGGGGCGGGACCCAGGGCAGAGAGGGCCCAGGCAGAGGCTGCACGCGTTGGCCAGATGCGCTCACCCGCCCCGCCCGGATGCGAGATCTGCCTCAGGTCCAGCAAGTGCGTGGCGAGGGCCACATCGACCAGGGGCGCGTCGTCCCGTAGCTGCAGACGAAGGCGGCGCATCGGCGGCGGCAAGAGCTCCACGAAGCTCAGCTGCTCGTTCCACTCGGGCGCCGTCGCCTCGCCGCGCAACGACGTCTTGCCCTGAGCGCGGCGGCGAAGACAGGCGGAGAGGGGTCAGCGCGGATCAGGGCCTAGGCCTCCGCCGAGTGAGGACGAGAGGGACTTACCTGCTGCCCCAGGAAAGACACCCGCACATAGGGGTCCATGAGGACGCGCTGGTCGTGCAGGGCGCAGGCCAGGCTGCCCAGCAGGCCGGGGCGCAGCGCCGGAAGCCCCTCGGCGCGGTACACACGCACTCGCAGCCGCGCCCACGGCCTCTCCGCTGCCACCCGACGCGGCAGCAGTAGGTTCCTAAGGGAGCCGGGCGCTGAGGGTCCCAGAAGCCCGAGGCTCGGCCCCTCCCCGTCTCCGCATCCCGGACGCCAACGCCCCGTCCTAGTCTCCCCTCCCCATCTCACCCCAGCTCACTTCTCGATGTCCGAACTGTGGCCAGGGCCCGGGGGTGGCAGCGGAGGGGCCAGGTCCCCGCGCGCCCTCACGGACAAAGTGACCTTGACGAAACCTTTGGTCCCGGCGCGTGTATCCCGGGAGTCGTGCAGAGAAGCCCATTTCTGATAGAAGTGGCCATATGGGGACGGAGGAGCAGACCAGGGGTCAGGGGAGACCGGTGGGATGCGCAGGGTGGTCGTGGGGCTGCGATCTGAGTGCTGGACAACGGCCGGGGTTCAAGTCCAGCTCAGGAAGGAGGAGCGGCAGTGCGTGGAGGTCAGACGTCGGAAGAGATTGCTGTCTCACAAGTTAGTACACTGGGCTTAGGGCCCAGAGGTTCAGCTTCCCTTGTCCGTGCAGAGGAGTCTCAGTGAGGGGAGGGTTCAGTACCTGGCTGGTCGAAGATAATGCCCAGGTCCATCCTGAAGGTGCCTATCCGGGTGGCCATAAAGGGGAGGGTCTACGAATGGAAAGCCTGGGGAAAGGTGGCGTTAGTCCTGGAGCTTCGGCATCTCCCCTTCTCTGACGGAAACCTCTCACCCCTACCCGCCTCACCGTGATCTCCAGCAGCAAGTCCTGGAGGTGAAGCCGGGTCTCATGAAATTCAAACAAGAAGTACTGGGTTGAAATGGGGAAGCGAGAGAAGTGAGAGAAGGTTATACGTGAAGGGTTCGCGCCAGGTGGTCCCTGCCTCTGGCAAAGAGAACGCTCTCCTTCCCCACCCTTCCTCACCACCACCGCCCGCAACTCGGAGACCACACCTCTTTGCACCCTTTCCCGCAAAGAGACCTTAGCTTCAGGCCCGCCAATAAGCTCGCTTCCACCTAGGCTACGCCCCCTCCACACAGTTCTTATCCTGGGTCCCGCCCATTCCCTCAGGCTCCCCCTTCCTTGGTTGCACCCACTTCGTTGAAGAAGGGGCAATTTGTCCCGCGCTGCGTGGCGGTCACTCGGCGTTGCTCCCCAACGCGCACGGCCACATAGGGATTAATGTTGACTCCCACCAGCTTCCGGGCCTCGGGCACCGTGACCCCCACCTAAAGGATGGGGAAGGAGGAGAAAAGGAAGCTAAGCCTGCCTCGGTACGAGGGAAGAACGGGTGTGGAGGGCGGGTGGTATTCCCCAAGGGTTCAGGCCTGGAGGGGGAGCGGTACCTGGAAGTCCTGGGCCCTGGATACCTGGAAGGGATCCCCGCGGGCCAGGCCCCGAGCTCGGCTGCGGAGAGGCTTACAGTCAGCTCTCACTTCACTTCCTCCCCTCCACCCCGCCGTCCACACACACACCCTTGCTTGGCGCTGGCGATAAGATCTCTCCCTCTGAAGATTCTGAGTCCTTCTAGCCTTATCTTGCCTCCATCTCAGTCCTATACTCAGAATTTGACTCATTCCTGGAGCCCTAAAACCATGCATTCATTCAACAAAGATCGAATGAGCACCTTCTATGTACCAACACTGTTCTAGGCACTGGAACACTGCAGTGAACAAAGGAGGCAACATTCCTTGCCCTCAACAGGATTTCATCACTTTCATGGGTTCCAGAGGCCATGTGTGAGCCAGTGTAACTGTGTGTGAATGTAGCTGTGTCTATGCCTAGGAATGAATGACCCTTGACCCCAGGATATCCACTCCCCCACCCATACCCTGAGACCATGTGTTTGTGAGGGTGGACAGGCACAGGCCTGCATGTATGAGCGAGTGAGGTTGACACACTGCTAGGCTATGGGAGCAGGTGCTCAGTGGGTACAAGTTACCTCTTGAGGGGGCTGAACGCGACGCCAGAAAGCTCCACATCAGGCTTGTCATCCAGCTCCAGCTCCAGCTTGTTGTCCTCATCGCCCTGCTGACCTACTCCTCAAGCTAGCCTGCGGCCCAATGCCACTGCCCACCGCTCCAGCCGGGCCTCCCCAGGCCTCACAGGAAAGGCCGTCAAGGAACATGTCTTGGACTTATCACCCATCTCTGGGCACCCATCTCTGACTTCCCTGACTCTAGGACCCACCCCTGCCCCTTGGTCTGACCCCTAACCTGGGAAACCTCTAGTTCCAGAATTGACCCCTGATTCTAAGACTGACTTCTCACCCTGGAATTGGTCCAGTACTGATCCCAGACCCAGGGACTGACCCCACATCACTGGCTCCCAATCCCAAGACTGACCCTGTAATCCCAGGTCATCCCCACATACTTACTCCAGCTCCTGGAAGCCCACATTGGGAATGATCAGCTCTGAGCTGGGAGAAGGAGAAATGACAGGAGAGGGCCATGCCTGACTACAGAGCTACAACCTGGGCAGCACGGGTCCAAGGGTCACCATATCCAGCAGATCCACAGTGGAATTGGGTACCACTTCTCTCTTACCAAGGCCTGCCTGGGCCTTGGTTAGGTGGGTGGGAGAGTTACCTGTCCCGAATGGGTGCTCCAAAGTCCTCTTCTGCCCAGGCTCCAGTTTCACCCTCTGGGGGCTGGTACTTCAGGTCAAGTTCCACCTGGACCTAGAACCAGATACACAGTAGGCCTTGGGCCCCTCAAACTACCCTGATGCTAAGAAAAGCCCAAAGACAATGCCTTTTACTCCACCTATAAACAGAAACCCTCCTGGCCTGCATCTCTGATGACTTGTGGTCCCTCTATGATCATTAATAATAGTGAGTACTCATAAGCTATCAACGCTTTCCCTGGTGGCGCAGTGGTTGAGACCTCGCCTGCCGATGCAGGGGACACGGGTTCGTGCCCCAGTCCGGGAAGATCCCACGTGCCGCGAAGCGGCTGGGCCCGTGAGCCATGGCCGCTGAGCCTGCGCGTCTGGAGCCTGTGCTCCACAACGGGAGAGGCCCACGTACCACAAAAAAAAAACACAAAAACAAAACATAAGCTATCAAGAGCTTACCTGATGCAAGTAACCTCTTTAAGGGGGCCAACACAATTCCAAAATTCTCTCACCGCTCTTGGAAATCCATTAGTGTGGCCTTCACAGCTCTGCGTGATCTGGCCCCTGCCAACATTTCCAGTCCCAACCCTTATGGGGTCTGCTCCTGCCCTGCACCCTGGTCATGCCCTCTCAGGGCGCTGGGCTTTTGCATATGCTGGTTCTTCCGCCTGCAACATTCTCTCCTCCCACTTATTTATCACCTATCGTATCCTTCAATTCCAAGCTCAAACATTACTTCCTCAGGGAACCTTTTCTGAACCCCAAATAGGTCACATCCCTCTGTTATACATTCTCCCAGCCCCCTACCAGCTCTTTTGTAACACCAATCGGTGTCAATTTTACATTTATTTGTGTGAATATTTGTTTAATGTTTGCCTCTCTCTTCAGATACGGAGCTCTAAGAGGGCAAGTCCTTATCTGGTTTTGTTCACCACTCAATCGTCATTGCTCAGCACTGCACTTGGCTTATAATCAGAGCTCAGCGAATGACAACAGACTGAATGAAAAGCTGGACATTTTGTACAACTCCACATAAGGTAAGTGAGGAAACAACCTAGAGAAGCGGAATAACTTGTCCAAGTTCTCAGCTGGGAAGTGGTGGACTTGAGATTTGAACCCAGGTTCATTTCTACCAGGCTGTACTGCCCCTCCATGAAACACCAGGAAAATCCAGCCAGGTTCATCTTTGTCCCCTACAGCAGCTGCGCCTGGTACAGGGTCAGGGAGCAGCACGGAGCTCCTTATCTTCCCTTGCCACACAACTCTGGCCCTCAGAGCTGAACCCGAATCTTGGCCTAGGGGCTGTAATGAAAGGCGCCCTGGCTCAGGGGTCTTGTTACCACTCCTGTCTGGGTCTGGGTTTTCCCCCCGGAGAAACGGAACCCTCTATCTAGAGGGACACTCAGGCTTGGGGGTGGCAGGCTGGGGGCTGACGGAACTCACTGGGGACACGCGCAGATTCTCATCCACTAGGGCCTCCTGAAGCACCAAATGCCCTGCAGTCTGTAGCTGCTGCAGGGATATCACCAGCGTCCCCAGAGACCTGGGGGTGTGGCATGAAGCAGAAGAATGACCCAGGAGAATGGTCGCAAGCTACCCCCTACCCCTACTTGCATCCTTGGCTCCCCAGGCCTGCTCACCTGGGGCTGAACACAAGGCTGCAGTTGACCACCTGTACAGACAGTCACTCCCCAGCCAGTGGAGCCTCATAGTGTGGCCAACGGAACAGCTGGGAATTGGAGGAACCTTGTGACACCCAATGCTGGGCTGACACTGACCCCTAATCCAGAGTCTGAAATAGGAGCCAACCCTAAAAACTGAGAGCTAACTCTATGACTGATCTCCTAAACCTGGAACCAACCCTCCCAAACTAGGGCTGATCTGGGGCTAACTACCAATCAAGAACTAATCCCCCCCAGTCTTGATTCTGACTTGCCCAAACTGAGTCTAACCTCTTTAGCCGGAAATCAACCCCACCTCCTGAGACTATACCTCCCAAAGCCAGGAATAAACCTCCCAAACCAAGGATGGACTCATATGGGGCACAGATCAGCTTCTCCCCATCCAGAATCCAACCCCACTGACCTCACCGATATCTGCTTCTTGACCACAGTGAATTCTCCTTGTTTTCTGGATAAAATCTGCTCAGAATTGAATCTAGTCATTTATCAGCTCCTCCCCACGCACACAAAAAAATCATCCCTCCATTCACTCTTGGTCCAGGGTCTAATCCCCCTGGACTCACCCTTAAAGAGACATAGAAGATAGGGAGGGAGGGAAGCAGAGAGCTGGAGACATTGGACTTGGGGAGAAAGGGGACAGGCTGTAGAGATGCCTAGGGATGGGGTGGGGGGCCTGGGGAATGGAGGAACTGGAGCTCTCCAGTTCCAAAAATTCTCAGAGCACCCCTGCAAACCTCACCTCGAAAGCTGAGCCTCACCTGTAGGTCATGGGTGCCCGGCAGCCCTGTCAGTCACCGCACACACACCATCAGAGCCATTGTCCCAGGGCCAATGGCTCTGCCTCTGCCTGATTGCCCTCCTGCCCGCTTGCCCTCCTGCCCACCTGCCCACCCACCTGAATCGCCTCTGACTCACTGGACTCACCCAGCAGGTTCAGCAATCCCTGCCCTTTAGTCAAACACAAAATCAGCAGGCCTGGGGGTCACGGGTAGGGAGGAAGTGGGAAGACAGAGAGATAGGGGTAAGGTCCCTGTGGTCAGCTCAGTCCTCCCTGTCTGCACCAGCTTCAGCCTCCTTCCTGCCTCCTTGTAGGGTGGGAGCTGCGACAGGGTGGGGATGGAGGCAAGGGGAGAGGGCCAGACCCCAGGCTGGTCTCTGCTAGCCTGTGAGGACTCAAGGACATGGGACCTCATGTTGTTCCTTGTTCACTTCACTGTCCTCAGGGTCTGGCACATTGCAAACCCTCAAAACACGGCCCGAATAGATGTATTAATAAATGAATCCCCTAGCTCCCAGCATTAGCATGGAAGCAGTCAACACATTTATTGAATTAATGAGTGACTGAATGTGTGTCCCTAGCTTGTACATAGCAGATGTTCAAAACATTTCTTAACCAAAAGCTAGAGGTCCTTCACTTGGGGTTTACTGGTGGTTTACTGGTGAGTACTGAACTCCAGGGCAGGATTTTGGAATTCTAATCTTTGGTCTCAGGAAAATCCTTTCCCCTCTCTGGACCTATTTGCCTAGCTGTGTAATATGCACAGGATGAACTGCACTGCTTTTCAAAGTATGGTCCCTAATCAGGATCACACATGTGGTTGTTAAAAATGCACATTTTGGGCTTCCCTGGTGGCACAGTGGTTAAGAATCCACCTGCCAATGCAGGGGACGTGGGTTCGAGCCCTGGTCTGGGAAGATCCCACATGCCGCAGAGCAACTAAGCCCGTGCGCCACAACTACTGAACCTGTGCTCTAGAGCCCGTGAGCCACAACTACTGAGCCCACGTGCCACAACTAATGAAGCCCGTGTGCCTAGAGCTCGTGCTCCGCAACGAGAGAAGCCACCACAATGAGAGGCCTGCGCACCGCAATGAAGAGTAGCCCCCGCTCGCTGCAACTAGAAAAAAGAAAGCCCGCATGCAGCAACAAAGACCCAACGCAGCCAAAAATAAATAATTAATTAATTTTTAAAAAAATGCACATTCTGGGACTTCCCTCGTGGTCCAGTGGTAAAGAATCCACCTTACAATGCAGGGGACGTGGGTTCGATGCCTGGTCGGGGAACTAAGATCCCACATGCCTCCGGGCAATTAAGCCCACATGCCACAACTACTGAGCTCGCGAGCCTCAACTAGAGAAGAGAAAACCCTCGTACCACAACTAGAGGGGAGCCCGCGCACTGCAAGGAAGAGCCTGTATGCCACAACTGAGACCTGACACATCCAAAAATAAATAAAATATATAAATAATAAATAAATCTTTAAAAAAATATACATGAAAATTCCTGCACCCACTCTAGAAATGCTAAAGTAATATCTCAAGGTGTGCCTGGGAACCTGAATTTCTATAAGCTGCACTGGTACTATCCTGTTGCACAGCAGGAGTTTGGGAACATCTGGTCTCTTGGCTGTGATCATGTGTGATTCCTCATTCCCTTCTAGGTGACTCAGATTGTCTGATTGTGGGTATGGAGATTGGTGGGTACTGAATTCTCACCCCACAGACCCCTGGTAAATATGGGTCTGGGAGAGGAACCCACAGATCTCTGAGGTCAGAGTTCTCTGGCCTAATGACTAGGATGAGAGGAGGGGCCTGATGGGTTGTAGCGCAAAAGAGACTAAGAAACTAAAAAGACTTTATTGAGAAGTGCTGTGGGTGATCCCTTGCTCCTTAACATTTATTCATTCACAGATATTTGAGCACCTACTACATGCTAGGCCTATCTAGGCGCTGGAGGATACAGTAGTGAACAAAACAAAAATCCCTGCCTTCATAAAGTTTACTGCTGTACTGGGAGTAACAGGTTATGGAAAGAGAGGAAGAAAGGAAAGAAAAGAAAGAAAGAAAGAAAGAAAGAAAGAAAGAAAGAA